TGAGTCATCAGGCAAGCATGTGTCACTCTAAATCTTAGTTATATTGCACTTCATTCTTCTTCCACATTTTCCTTTGAGCAAGTTCTAGGATCAATTTTAGAGTTACATGGAGGATAGCATCACTTACATGCATTCATTGGCTCTTTTGCACATAAACCCTGTTAGCCTTTTTGGCAGAGCTGAGTAGATCAACAGTATTTTTTATTCTCTTTGATTTAAAAAACAAGTTTATTTTTTTTTAAATTGGTTGTAGTACCAAAACAAGTTTACTTTTTTTTTAAATTGGTTGTAGTACCCCCAGAGCTCCCCACCCTATCTACTGCTAATACTGCTGGGTATAACAAAAACAAAAGATTTTTAGAGGTATTGACATTGCAACTGCGGTTCAAAGAATGGTTGGTAGAAGGGTAGTGGGATGTCTGTTCACCCCCACCCCAAAAAAGTTAAAAATTATATAGACAACCTGAATGAAAGAAAACAGCAAGTACGAGTTGGGAGAAATAGTTTTCTGATAACTGCTTCATCCTGTAGACATAGTACAAACAGAGGATTATTTGCTCATCCTGGACTTAATAATACCACCACAGAGTTCTTTTCAGCTACGGTAACAGTGAGACTCAGCGTGATGGTTGGCCCTATTCTTTTCATCATATTTGGAAACATAAAATGTTGTTTTTGTTATTAGAGTATAATGTGTAAACTGCAATAAAGATGTAAGACGGACTGGTCCAGAAATCAAAATGTGCTCCTATAAAGAAAAGGTTTCCTCTACTTCTGATCACCAAGACTTTTTATGAAGCAAACCAGCAAGTAAGATTAGATGAGAATAGCTTGTTTTTGATCTAAGAGTTTCCCGCAGAGGAGGGTATTGTTAAAATTTGCTGATTATCTGAGGTTTCAAGATAGGAAAAAGATGGTCATGAAAATACTTCCCTTTGTTACTGAACAGAGGTATTATTAATGTCTGCCATATAAGCATAGGAAGCTAGTGGCCTGGAAACTTGCCACCACGTGGCTAAAAAATTTCAGTTACGCAGTTCGAATGGCAGCAGCTGCTTTTCATTTAAAGGGCAAGAATTAAACAAGCCATGACTTCAGTGGGAGACAAACGAGCCCTGTTTGCTTCTTCTGTCCTCTTTGTATTTAGCTTCTCCTCCATACCCACCCTGTACTGAGTGTTTGTTAAAACTGACCTTGATAAGTCTCAAAAGCACTCAGAAACCCATGCTGCCAAATCCAATGGCCAATTGTTTTCAAAAAGGGGATACTGTTCCCCTTTGGACTTAACTGTAGCCTCATCCTCACACCAGCCAGCACTTTCCAAGCCTGTGTTTTCCTCTGCTGCAGTATCCAATGTAATCATGTTTAGTACTTTCCAAACAACAAAGCAGATGTTCCCTGTAATGCAGTTTTTGAAGAATGCATATGAGGCTCAAGCCAGTGACAGTGTAATCCACCAAATGCCTGCAAAGGAATCCACATCGCCTCTGACTAACAAGTTTTGTTACTGAAGTCATTTTAGGGGATGCCAACATTAAGGATAAAATATGCAGAAAAAAGGCAAGATATTGCCTTGAGGGACCTAGTCATCAATGCACCAGAAACTACACAATGACTCTTCTTCCAGAATTGGTGGAGAAGTGCACATGTGTAAAATATACCTTTTGCACTTTAAGACATTTTACCAGCAAACTGTTTCAAATTAAACCCAGATGAGTAATGGTAAAGCAATGAGGTTTTCCCTGGGTTCAGTAAAAACAGCTGGTATTGCTGCTATTAATCATGTATGTGTGCATTAAAAGGTCTTGCATGTCTGAGAAAAGCATCTCAGTCAGGTAGCAGCAATGTACAACAGCCTCTGGGACCTTTGCTTACAGAAAAAAAACCCCAAACTGCTTGCTGCCAATGCATCCCTGTATTCTACTTGTACTTGAATGCATTCATTCTGATGCCCTCATCAATAATACTTTAAAAATCAAATGCCTCATAACTAAAGTCTTATATCAGTGAATAACAATATTCCTACTCGGAGTTTTATTTTGTAACATGATGCTAGAACATACACACTCAACAACAGTCAGTATACTACTAATTGCAAGACCACTAAGCTGTAAGACTTCTTCCAGCAAGATCAAAAAAACAAGCCTTGAAATACCAATTTGAAAAATACTGTGCCTGTATCCAACACTTTACCATAAGATAGGCCTTGTGAAGATTCTAGGTATTTCAGACCCAAGGGTTGCAAAATACATTTATTCCTTAATATTAGTAGCCTAGAGTTGTTTCAGCCAAACGTGACTGAGAAGTCAGTATATCTCTGAAGCTTGCATGCGAAGGGAATTTACGATGCGACTGTATGAGTATTAACTATGTCATGAATAATTTAGTTTTTCTGGAAAGCAGCAACACATTGAAAGGCCTTTCATTGGTTTCTGGTTAGCCTTCTAACAGTACAGGATAAGAAACAGCTGAATATCACCTTATTTTAATAGATACATCTGCATTCTCTCTTCGTACCACAGGTACAGAAAATAATTTCATTCTAAGGTGAAGGGGTTACAAAGAGACTGCTTGAATTAAACTTTGTACCTATTCCATGTACCAATCATCACCAGAGGCAAACTGTGAATACTGGAATGTCTTTATCTCCCACTTGCTGTGAGTCAGCTGCAAGACATGAAAGCCTAGAGCCAAAAGTTAGCTGTGTTAAGACCACTGGGTTTACACGAGATTGTTTTGTTTGGATACCTATTTGGAGGACTTATAATTTTTTTCATTTTGAAGCATGGAAGAACTGCTGCATGGAAATAGAATAGAAAACTAAAGAAGGATTTCTTCAGACAGAAGAACAAAAGCCTGTTTCATAACTGCTTAGAGGGTACACGTCTGCCTCTGCACTGGTTAGCAGAGGACAAATTCTTTGTTCAGTGTAGCAGTGAGTTAAACCACAACAGGGAAATACACAGATGTGTGTGCCCATGTGCTTTAGCAGCAAGGCACTGACAAACACTCATAATGAAACTCAGGACATATTCTAGACAGCCCCAAAATTTTGGGGCTACTTTGTCTGCATTTGATGAATTGATGTCTACAGCTTGAAGAGTATTTTCGGCACATATTTTCTTTCAAACCAACCTAATCTCTAATGAAAATATGGATTTATGTTTCTGTCAGTACCAAGTCCATTTGAGATCCACCTGTCTTCAAAAGAGGTCTTTCCTTTCAAGAGGAAACATTAGTCCTTCTACCACTGAGGGACAGGAAGACATGGAAGCTTCCAGCGCTAGGCAGTCACTGTATCAACAAGTCTGGCTGGGGGAAAGTGGATGACGAGGCAGTCTGGAAAGCAGGCACTCCCGATTCATTAAAAGCCCTGAAGAGTAGGACTGGGGACATAAATTTTTCTGAAGACTTGAGTGTGATAGCAGAAAAGTTCTCATGACATAAGTTTGACACACAGCAGCTTTTGCTGTTTCTGAGGTATATAACATCAGCTAACATCAACTTTTGTGTGGGAGCCATGTTGTGTGTCCAGCAGAATTGCAGTCATCTAAATCTGCTAGTCACCAAGGAAAAAAATTTCCCTGTCATACTATCGTCCCATCGGGAAGAATATTTTCTAGCCAACTGGAGAAGTATAGAAGCATTTCTTATTGTAACTGTAACTTTTTTGCACACTTGGAAATAGGGTAGAATTTGAAAAGGTTTCTGAGGTTTCTTAGTGCTTTATCAATCTCTGGTAGGAAGGAGGCAGTGCTTTTTATCACTGATCTAGCAAGATTTATTTGGGAAGGACCGCCAATGTTTTCTTCCAAGAAAATTTCTGCTAGTAGACCAGAGAGATAGAAATACCACTGGGAAGTCTTCCAATATGCTCAGGACAAATACTAATGATATACCTCATCTCCAGCAACTCAAATGGCACTAATGCTGGAAATGTTGCATTGGATAAAGGGATACCTGCTTGAGTCCAGTCTTGAGAAAAAGAGACAATCTGCTGCACTGTCACAGTTTCTCCAAGAACACAACACAGAGGTGACAGGATGAGAAAAAGGACTAATCTTTCTTAGTGGTTGTTGTTACATTGTTGGGTGGACATTCAAAAGCAAGTATCCATCACAGATCTGTGGGATGAAGGAAAAGGCTGACTTTCAAAAATTTTAATAGGCTGTTTACAAATGGACCCATTAACTTCAAAGTACTAGTGCAACTTCTCAGTGCTGCTGTCCTACTAGGAGCCTTTCATGGGTTGAACACATTACTTCAATATGCAAGGGGAAAAAACTATACGGAAATTGGTAACATCAGTAGTGATAACCATATTCACAAAGCTTAAAGGAAATAGTAGTAGAGAACTACTACTTTGTCTGATTTGTGAGCAGAGGATAAGAAGGGAGAAAATTGAAAAATAAGTTCCAATAGTATGTAGAAACACACTTCCATTCAGCTTCCTTTGTAACACTGAGCCTGTTACTATTTTATTCACACTTTCCAGCTATCTAATGATTGGTGAGACACAGAAGACTATTGAAATGAACTAATCTTTCTTCTGGAGATGATGTCCTTCAACAGTTTTACAGCCTACTCTCCTACCACTACAGACAGCGATTGCCACCTTTGAGTTCATCTGCACTTCACTCTCCTTATCTCTCTTAGAAAAACACTGCCAGTGAAACACTGGAACACATGAAACACTGGAACAGATTGCCCAGAGAAGTAGTGGAGGCCTCATCCCTAGAAACATTCAAGACCAGGTTGGATGATGCTCTGAGCAACCTGGTCTAGTTGAAGATGTCCCTGCTCATTGCAGGGGGGTTGGGCTACATGACCTCTAAAGGTCCCTTCCAACCCAAAGCATTCCATGATTCTGTGAAAAAATAATTAGCCTGTGTCTGCCAGCGAACCTACTGTAACAACTTGACTGTTCTTTGCTGATGCTGCAGTCTCAGTGCAGGCTCTGCATGCTGACTGGAGTATGAAGTTGTGTTGTCATACTATACCTGTTGGCCAAGAGCTGTGACCTAGTTCCAGAAGGAGAGGTTAGGTAAATTGCCAAGTCTCCACGTCGAGGGTGAGTAATAGTGATGCGTACGATGACATGCTCCAAGTAGATCACATGGTGGTTAGGATTATCTGAACAGCCAGTGGCTTTGTAAATTGAACGGACAATGCTGTCAGGTCGTATTGTTCTATAATACAAGCATATAAAACAACATCAGCATTTCTTGCTTGTTCTGTAACGTAAGACAACCACGTTTTTTTCTTAGTAGTGTATGAGTGTTAGACAATTATTTCTGAGAAGTCCGTGGCTTAGAACCGTTAGCTTTAACACTTAATTCCTAGCTGAAACTATCACCACAGGGTAATTATTTTACTGCAGCTAATGGCAACTACTTGGCTTTCTGTTAAGCATGTACACATGCTAAAAGAGGACAGTGAAAAACCTGTAATAGGAATAAGCCTTTAGGACAGAGCATTTTTGTGGATTAGTGGCCAGCTGAGAATTGTTCGGATTGTCATGGGATCACAGCTGGTTGTTAAGCCCCAGGAAATGCCTGGCATAGCCATAGTCCTTGCTTACGTAATAGCAAGTATTACATGTTAACTGTACTAAATGCCATCTGACTCAGCTTGTTTAAATTGGCACGACATCCTTGCAGACTATACCAGTTATGGATCAAGCCTGCCAAGCATATTTATCAAACAATAATCCTAATGCTTTGTAAGTGTGCCTTGTGACCGATGTTGTCTCTATATCCACAGAGTGCACATACAGAACGTTGCTTTCAAGCCTGGTTCTGAAAAGACCCTATCCTAGTAAGTGGAAAGCAATTTAGTCTTAGCCTCCGAGCTAGAGACTTTCCTGAGGCTGTTTGAGAGAAAAAATACCATCCAGTGTTTTAATGAAAAGAGTATTTCCTTGTTAGATCCTGGACTGGTAAGTCTGTATACATCTTACAAAGGTGACTGCAGTGCACTCAACCAAACCTTCTCTGGTGCATCATCTATACCAGAATCAGTCATATCCAGCCTGGCTTGTTTTACACCTTCAACTTCTGGGGCATCCTTTAAACTAGGGCCTTTTTCCAAGCACTACAGGTAACCATGTTTGCAGGCAAATGACTTGGCATGTGTGAAGGTGACAGAAATCCCCAGTATAGCTTTCAAAATGACACATTATACAAAACGCAACGGAGGGGTAAATTATACCCAATTTCTTTCCATAAGTTTATGCCAGCAAGAGTTTTGGCAGCGGGTATTACTTGATTTGTCGATCCGTGTTCTCCACACACACGTGCTGTGGAGGGACTGTTGTCCATTTTTCTGCTTCTATCACCATTGCTTCAGCGTCCATCAGTCCAAATCCATAAAGGTGGCTCACTGCAAGGTACAAACAGAATGGTTGTAATTGTGGCATAAAACCTTGTTCTTCATCATAGACTAATTCCAGAGAGTCACATTCTAATAGGAGCTGCTTCTTCTCTACTTCTTCCTTGCTTTCGAACAATGCTCAAAAATCTCCTTGCCAGAAACAATAATGACCATGTCTAATTTGTTCGCTGAATCTATTCACTGCTTTATTGCAGAAGCGGCAAATGACCATCATGAATAACACTGCTTTACCACAAGAAGCACGGACCAGAACTGCAGAACGCCAGGCAGTACAATTGCTTCTGATTGCCCTTTGTCCATGTGCTTTAATTCAGCCCAGTCCTCTTATATGACACAACATTTAAAGGTGTAAAGAACCAGATGAGGGTTATTTCTGTTACTGAAATACTAAATATGTGCATTTATGTAAATACTGAAGGCAACTGAGACAATAAATTTAAGAAATACAGACTGTCTTTTGTAACTGCTGTACACTCTTAACTTCCCTGAGTGTAAGCAGCATGTGGATGGTCTCCTATTCCTGTACACGGTACAGTTGCCCCTGGTCAGCCAAGAAGCTAGATCCAACACCTCTCTAAAGCTGTCTGCATGATGAGGGTGAAAAGCAATGGCATCTGAAGTCCAGGGCCCTAAAGATAATCTATTCTCATGCAGACTCTGTGTCACAAAGGCTCCTTCCTCTATCTCTTTTGTAGACCTGCAGATGAAGGACAGGTCTGCAGGTGAAGTTAGTGCTGTAGAGAGCTACTAACATTGCTGTTGACATCTGATACTACCTACGGCATGCATCGCACACACAGTGGCACTAAGCGGCCATGCCTGGAGGTTAGCACTCTGTTAACGCTCATTCCTGGATGTTTCATCCTCACCTCTATCTGCCTTTCATGCCATGGAGAGCCAACAATGGTCCTCTTACAAGAAATGTAATGCCTAGTAATTTAACTTTAATGCCTGAATGCCTTGTACTCAAAGAAGCAGAGGGCTTTGAAGCATCACCTTTCTTAGCACACAAAAAATTGAACTTTCAAATGCCCAGCACCTAGACAAGGTGAAGTACTTCCAACAGACTTGTGTCTACTCTGTATCTTTCACTTTTTTTGTAATTTTAAGAGCACAACTTGATGTAACTATTTCAAGGGTGCCAGCAGTTCACAAAGGCTAAAAGTTTCACTTCCTGAATCAGCTGTGTGGTTTTAGTTGCTGTTCCAATCAAAACAGAAGCTTGCAAATAGATTTTGATAAATTAGAAGAGCTGCTAGCCAGGTTGTTCTCTTGTGACAAATCAGTGCTCTTGCTAAAGTTCTGACAGGAGAAGGTGAAGGGAAAAATCTTCCAGAGGGAGGAGTTTAGATGACAAATATTACTAAATCAGTTTTGGTTGCTACCCCAGACGGTGCTACCAGAAAACCCTCAGAAAAACATAAGTGCTATTTTCATCAGTAATGAGACCAGGCATGGTGTAAATCTTTCCAACTGCACTTTGCAGAGGGTATGTAAAAGCAGCCTCTATTTATTGCCAAACCAGAATTCAGAGGACTCCATCCAAAAAAAGCCCAACCTTGTAAAACAAATAACCGTTCAAAGCACAAAAATAATCAGTGCTTAAGGATCCCATCTTCCAAATACGGCAGTATCTAGTACTGTCTGAAACTGCCAGCTGAAGAGGGTTCCTCAATGGAAAATACTGCAAGGCGTAACGACTGTGTAATTAACTGGTTTCCTTCCCATCTTCTTCCCCTTCAGCCCCAAACTAAAGTGCACATAGCATGGAAATGTTCATTTGGAGAGAACTAAACACAGCTCTTCTGCCAGATGAGGCAGGTACCATTTTCAGAAATGGAACACAACAACCAAAATATATGAAAATAATTTAAATCAGCCCTCCTTCAGCCTTCCGAACTCTCTTTAACGTATTCCACAAACAATGCACTGTGAGGACGGTTCCTGTGATGGAAATCTCCTTGGTCATAGGTGTCATCTTACAAAACCTGAATCTTCTGATGAGACCATATTTATCTGTGAACTAATTTGTTCTTACACTGCATGCATTGCTCTGATATTTAAAATTTTACTTAATAATCATTCTGTCTGCTCTGAAGAACAGTAGGAAGAACAAGAGTGTTAATTCACTTGGTCTGTGACTGTACACAATTACTCTGTATAGTATTACATTTAAACAGTGAGAGATTAATATTTCATGAAAGGAAAAATCTTTTGAGCTAACCCATGGAAAATGCATTTTTAATTCCTGACAGGTACCAACTTGCATTGGGTTAGCGCTCCGGATGTCCAGTTGTAAGATCCTGTGTGTTCAGCCCAACTACTGAGATCAAGGAAGAGCCTTTTATCACCCAGAAATAAGGGCAGAAGAGCACCGGACATTGCCACTGGCAGGCAGTGACCTTCTGATGGAAACTGAAGTGGCTTTTAAGCCCCCTCACCCTAGAATTTTTCTGCCCTAATATGCATATTAAAAATATACCTGCAGTCTAGAGAGTGAACTTGCTTTCTTTCCTATGCTAAAAATTACTTGGAAGATAGAATTGTGTTCATTTTTCATCCAGGAGAAAAAATTACCATCCAAGGTTACGTGGTTGTGTTAATCATTCATGACACAATGCTTAAACTTTCTTGCACAAGAGCAGTGGTGGGAGTGAGAAGATCTGCACCTGCTGGTTTTTTTTTCCATAGCTGAAACAGAAGTACATTTTTTCCTTGAAAGGCCTTCCCATTGAAATAAAAACTTCCTGACAGTCAGGGGTGCTCCTAAATCCTTCCACGTGAGAAGCTTCCAGGCAGCTGACATTTGGCTGTCTGTGACGTTTGCACTTGAAAGCCCTTGATCCAGTGGGTTGGTTAGCAGCTGCAGGTACCAGCAGAGGCCCATAATTTTCAAAGACTGAATAAAAGCAATTTAGGAAAGAACCACAGAGTTAACAAAAGTAGTTGATCCCCTGTGTCTTACAGAAGAAAGGAGATTTTGTTTCCTACTGCCTTCAAATTGCACCCCTTCATCTATGTATATGCTAGTACTGCTGTGAACTCTATGCCAAGGTTCTTCTCCCAGAGGTTAAGAATGACCTCAGTGGTCCACATGGGGCCATAAATATCTTCTGGGAAACATCTGGAACCGCCACTGATGTGTATGCGAATGGTATGAACTCACTTCTGCTAACCCAGATAGAAAAGCAATATTTGAAAGGTACTGATGATTGCGGAGTGAAATAAGCTAACTGCAAGTGCAAAATGCCCCAGGACCTTGCATATACCCACTTATGTGCTCTAAATTACCACTGCTGTGAATTGCTACTGAGCTCAGTTGTTGCTAGGAGTCATTGAACATGTCAGAGGGGATATAGGGCTGTTTTGTAAGAAGATATTTGCCTTTCAGAGACAGAACAGGAATATGAGGTTGGTGCAACGTAAGCTGGTGACCAAGGAGCAGACTGTTGCTGTTGTTGAGCTGAAGGATTGAAAACTGTGATCTCCTTATGAACAAGGTGTTCATGGGCAGAACTTTCCTTGAACCCTCTCTCTACTCATGCAGCAATGCAAACTGATCCATCCCTATTTCTGCAAAATCACAGGCATATACAGAGCTTTACAGATGCAGGACAAGTCTGAGAGAAGAACTTGCCTCCCGCAATACAAACTAAACATTGAGTTTTAGCTGATCTCTTTACTCTTATTATCATTACAGAAAATAACATTTCTCAGGGCTAAAGTCCATTTATTTATCCCTGGAGCAATTCCTCTGTTAGTGCACCATGAAATAAAGGCCTGCTCAGCTGCTGGATAGACTTTGTCAGCTTTTTCATAATCCTTTTGTTTTTGTCTGAAACTGAAAGGCTGGTGTTGATAAATTATAACGCAGAATCATGCAGACTCCGGGAAAACTGGGCCCAGATGCTGAAAACACAGCATTTCCACTGCCTCCGCTTGATTTGTTAGGCTGCAGTTTCATTGCCTGTCATCAAGGTACCTCATCATTACTTAGGTTCTGTTATACTCATCTGACAAACAACATTGCAGAATATTTTCTCCCTACTATATTTTTGGCCTTTAATTTTCTATATTGTGAAAGTAGCTTTGGAAAGATAAATATTTTGTATACACATATCAAACATTAAATCAGAAGGAGAGAGATGGTAGTAACTTCAGTTTGTCAAATGAGGAATATGCAGCTTTCCTAAACTAGATTCAGCTGTTTGATATGTACATTTTCATGACTTGTTCATATATGCTACTTTAGGATCTTGATCCAGTCTCATCCAAAATTGACTGATATAATTGATTTGCTATTAGGAGAAATTACTGAAAGAGTGGTCAGGCATTGGAATAGGCTGCTCAGGGAAGTGGTGGAGTCACCATCCTTGGAGGTGTTCAAAAAACGTGTAGATGTGGCACTTCAGGACATGGTTTAGTAGGCATGGTGGTGTTGGGGTGACGGTTGGACGTGATGATCTTAAGAGGTCTTTTCCAACCTATGATTCTATGATGATTCTATGATGAAAATGAGACCAGCATAACTGGAGTCTAAAATGTCCCTTACAATGTGTTTTTCTTAAACGTTGCTTAGCAAGACTAGAAGATGTGAGACTCCTGAGTTACTCTCTTTCTATAAATACTTGAAACTGACCTACACCAATACTTCTTTATCAGTTGACATTTTATTTGCAAATATAAAGCTCTAATTCTATATTACTTGAATCTTCTGTCATTTGCTTAGCATGTCAAAATGCTTGAACCAGGAAAGACAATTATCTAAAGATAATTAAGGGACAAAAAATGAGAAATGTTATAACAACACATGCCTTAAACTATTTTAATTCTGTTTTGTCATGTCCTAACGAAGAGAACACTGATCTTGAACGAGAATCCATCTTGTTTCAGCCATATTCCCATTTTGTGTCAACCTATGATCAGTAATCTGTGATAACTGGATGTGATTTCTGAAACACATAACTGCTTTACAAGCCAATAGTACA